AAATTTTTTATAAAAGATATATAATAAAAATTTTTATATTTAAATAAATTCCAATATCTAATAATTTAATTAAATAAGATAGAATTAAAATTTTATTTTAAAAAAATAATTTATTAAAATTTATCTGAGCTACAAATCCTTTTATATCAATCCATAATAATAAATATAAGTAAATAAAAATATAAAAGAATTAAGTTAAAGAAACTAATTAAAAACAAGAATAATAATTAAAATATATAATAAAAAAAATCAGATATTTTAATTTTCTTTATAAATATTTATTTAAATAATATAAAAATTTAAATATATATACTAGAAAATATGATAAATAACTTTATTTAAGACTACTTAAATATTTATTTTATTAAAATTTTTTATAATTTATATTTTTAAAATTAAAAATTTTAATAATAAGAAAATTTAAATAAATTATTATAAATAAATTTAATTATTATTTTATAATTTAATCTTATTTAAACTTATTTATTAAATTATCAAGTATATATATTTAAAATTTCATATAATTTAATATTCATTAAATAATAAACAAAAAAAAATTAAAAAAGTATTTTAAATTTTTTATAATCAATTTTTTTAAAAAAAATATTAATTATAAAAATTTTATTAAGATAAGTTATTAAATACTTTTAAGTAAACTTTTTACTAGTTTATTAAGTATATATATTTAAAATTTTATATAAATTAAATAAATATTTATTAAATATAATTAAAAATAAATAACTAGTTTTTTATTATATATTATATATAATTAAATTAATATATAATAATTATTTATATATTTAAAATAAAATTAATCTTTATAAAAGTAATACCAACTGATAAGTATAATATAAATATAAAATAAAGATTTAAACTAAAAGAAATATAATTAATTAAAATTATTATATTTTAATAATTTTTTAATGAATTCTTTTCTATTTGCTTATATATATTTTATTTAATATTTATAAATATATTAATAATAATATAATAATATATATTAATAAAATAATTATAATTAGAAAATATAATAATTAATAAATATAAAATTAAAAATTAATTATATTAATAAAATATAGTAAAATTAAGATTATTTATAAAGATATTAATTTTATTAAAAATAATTTTTAAAATAAAATTTATAATTTATAATTTTGATCTTTTTTTAAAATTTAAAATATTTTCTAAAAATATTAAATTAAATTTAAATTAAAAAAATTTTATAATAATTTATTTTATAATAATTTTTTAATAATTCTAAAATAAATATAATTTAATTGTAAATTATTAGTTAAAAAATAATTTTCTGATTAATTTATAATTTTTTTATTATATTTTATTATTTAAATTAATTTTATATAGTTTTTATCTTATTAATATTATAGTTAAATATTAAAATTTTGTAATTAATTTATAAATAAATATAAAAAATTAGTAAAAAATAAGATAAGTATAAAATTAAAATAATTTATATTTGAAAATTATTAAAAATTATCAATAAATTAGTTTTATATTAAAAAATTAACTTTAAATATATAATTAATTTATTATATAAATTTATTATATTTTAAATCTTTTTATATTTATTATATTTTAAAAAGAAATATTTTTAAAAAATATTATTAATTCTAATTATTTAATAATTAAAATTCATAATAAAAAAGATATAATCAAAAATAATATAATTATATAAAATTTAATTATATTTATATATAATATCATATTATTTAATAAAATGATATTCAAATATAATAATTCAAAATAATAATTAAAATATTATTCAATTATTTATTTTTAAATTGAATATTATTAATAATTATTTTATATAAAATTAGATATTATATTTGAATATAAATCTATAATTAAAATAAATTAATATAGGTTATATTCAAATATTAATTAAAAAATAGTTTAGTATGAATGATTATAGTGTTCTATAATAAAAAAGAATATAATATATTAATATAAACTTATTTTATATTAATATTATTTATTGAATAATTATAATTATATTAATTTGCTTTGTAAAAAATCTTTAAGAAAATTGAAAATTTATAAACTTAAAATCTGATATTATAATTTTCTAAAAATGGTATTTTAAATATCATTATCAATTAATTATATAAAAAATGAAATGACAGCTTAAATATGTTATCTTTAATTTGTTATCAAAACTTTCTGAAAAATTTTCTGATTAGAGATTTTACAGACTTTGTTTATAAAGCTAGCTTGAAAGTATACATATTACAATTATTAATAAATTTAAAAAATCTAACAAGAATATGAAATTTTTCTTATATATTTTTTAACTGAATTAAACAAGAAACAGAAGTCAAGATAAGAGTTATACTTTCATACTTCTCTTCAAATATAAAAAATCAATAAATAACTAAAAAAACGTTTATATTAATATCAATATGTTAAATCGTCCTAATACCCAATCATTCTTTTATAACAAAACATATGAAAAATCGAAATTTTATTCAAAGTTTGCATTTTCTAATAAATATTTTTTATTTTATATCATTTTAGAGTATATCAATTATATTTTCAAAAAATGATTTCTATCTGTGGGAGGTTAAGATGAAGAAATTTCACGCTATTATATATTTATTTGTTCTTTTAGTAATTATTTCTAGATTTTTTAAAGCTAATTCATTGTATTTTTTGAAGAATTATTCTATCTATGAAGATTTAAAAGTTTTTATTACAAAAGTTTTTTATACATGTACACGTATCTGTTTTAATAAGTCTAAATCGAACGTTACTTTTTGTATTTTTTATTTTTAATAGCAATAATCCAACCAGGTTGCTTTATAAATTTTTCCAAAACCTCCTTTTGCAAGATATTCAACGTTGGTAAATCTTTCAAAAGGAATCCATTCGAATATATTTGATAGATTGTCGATATCTTTATCTCCGCTAGGTTATAAATTCGTTTGTGATTGTGTATAGCGATAAATTTTTGGTTCAAACTAAGACAAAGTAAAATGAGAAAGTCCTTTTTCTTGTTGGCTCCTAAAGATTTCTCTGTTGAAATATTATTATCAATTTTTGCATAGAGGAAAGCAATCACAATACCAGATGATAGGTAGAAGCATGCCAACCCATGCACAAATCCACAAATCACTCACTTTGTTACACCCGTAATCGGCTCTTTTTCCTTGTCATATAGTTTTCCTCTTTAAATCAGCAGTCGACGTATTAATAATTTACCGAAAGTTTGTGCCTATAATTACATTCAATTAATTCATTGATCTATTCATTGATACAAGTATATAATTTGAACTTACTAATATCATTTCACCACTGTACCTCATAAAACTCTTTGGATCCGAATCTAAACTAACTTTATGTCATGTACAATCATGTGTTTAAAGCACAAATTACTACATGTTCATAGAGATAGAAATTAAGCATCGTCATTATTTTAATATCTTCTGAATTTGGTAAACAAAGTGGCTTGAAATTGCTAACATGCATATCGGTATTACACGCTTATTTTCGTTTGTTTTGGAAAACAAAAGTATGTGTACATTTATCAGGATTTTCGATTTTTTAACAAAGATGTTTTAATCATGCACATTTTTTTTTCTATAGTATAGAAAAAATGATATAATGGCTTGTGTAATATTATCGTTAATACCAAGAATAAAGAAATCAAAGAAAGAAAAATCTTGAGATCGACTGAACGATTTTTAATAATGGAACAGAAAAATATATATAAGCTGTATTTTTTCAGTGTTTCATCTTTTTCTTTATCCGGTTATCAGAAGAGTTTTCCCTTCTCATTTCCTTTAACTTTTTTTATCAAATTAATATTCGTGTGACATTACAAGGGATTCTCTACATTTTTTGAATATAAAAGAAGCATTCATCATTAAAAAACAATAGCAATAAAAGATCAAGAGAAAAACCATGAATTCAACAAGTACAGCACCACGTTATTGTGATTGGCGAATAGAAATCTACAATTGCGAAAATTCGGCATTTTGGACAATAGAAGTTTACTTTTCCTTGGTTTCTTTTACTTTGCTAGCATTCTCTGGCACATTTATCTTTTTTTATCGGTATCGATACATGTGGCAAGGATTATTTGTGGATCATGCCGGTATCGGTATTCGACCGTTACCCGTTGATTGTCTCTTATTGTTCTTTACAATTGCCGGATATCTTCGAGCAATTCATTGTCTGTGTTTGATTCTTGACGTATACACCGCTTATTGGCAACGTGAATTCGTTCAAGAAATAGCGTGGACATTTCTAAGTTACGGCGCTGTTACGTACCTTGTTGGTAAGTTTTGATCTTATTATTCTTGAATCAAGAATCGGTCAGTAAAACAAATTTAATCAATATTATTTCATTCAAAAGGTATAATATATACGATTCCAGTCAGCTACACGAACGGGACCGCTGGTATAGTCTCACTCGGTAATGGAGTAGCCGGCGATAAGAAAGGCTCATTTAATCTCACCAGCCACAAATTATACATCCCCACTCCCAAACAACTGAACATTTACATGGCAATTTGGTGTCTGTGGCCATCACTTATTGCATTACCGTGCGCTGTTTTCTCCGGAATCGAAAAAGATCGAAACAATTATGACATTGCAAGTAGATACACGGCGGCTCAATATGTTGCTGATTTCATATTCGACATGAGTTTCGCATTTATTGCCGCTTACTACGGCCTAAACTTTATGGTAGTTCTCAAAGGAACAATCAAATCATTCGAGGGCAGTAATGCAACCAGAATATTTAGCTCCAGTAATGGTAATAATCCAACTCGTAAAGCATTCCATCGTTTAAAGTACACGATGGCTTATTTATCAGGGTTGGCATTGTTCTCTGGTCCCTGGTGGCTAGTCTGGGGTCTGGCACACCAGCAACTTATCAGTTCAATCAACAATATAAGTATTTTCTTGTCAATAAGTTGGTACATCGCCGGTGCACAACCAATGATTGCCGTATGTCAGTATGTTCTTGCTAAACGTATTTATCAAAAAGCCACTGGACAGACATCTACTAATTCATCGAATGGTTCTATGGCACCAATGCTCTCGAATATTACGAATCCTAGGTCACCAATTACTCCAAAAAGAGCATCTTTTCAACCAGCAATAATAAAAATTGATAATACCGTAGATATAGAGATGAGTCTTGTTGGCGACAATCCGTTAGCTCAAGAAGCAACACGGGAAATAACTATAGCAGGAAGTTTATCAGGAAGTAATAAACGGATGACAACCATATTTGACGAATCTGGAAAATTGTGCCCAACTATGGAAGATAACAATAGTGGACAATGACTCGAAGAAGGGTCATTAACAATATCACAAAAAGAACTTTTTTCTTCAATTCAAAAAATAACTACCACCTCAGCCAATCCTCGTGAAATTCAAAATTTTCTAAAACTTTGTTTTTTTATCTTTGTAATTATTCCAGCAACGCTATCCTCATCATCTTTAATATAAATTATTTATGGCATTCTCATTTGTACAGATTATTCATTACTCTTACAACAACATACAAATCATCTCATTACAATTAACCCATTCATTGCATTATTATTCATTATAGAAATTTTATTTATCACATAGACATATCAATCGCATTAATTCATTTTTACATTCTTTTCTTTCTAGAATTTTATGGATTTTATAGACGTGTATTTTTTTTGTAAGGAAATCAGATGAATTATATTCCCTATCTCACCTTTGTATATATATTCCCTCTCCCCCCCCCCGCCCCACATAAACTGTAATTGTATTATTGTTTAACGTTAACTAATTTCGTCTGGTTTTAGATATTTGCATGAAATCATAATCACTTACTACCAAATAAAAAAAACAAAAAAAATTACCATTACTAGTTTGCATGTGCATTGTTACCTACAAATCGAGATTTCTTAGCGTTTTAATTCTTCTGTTATGTCATTTTTTTGCTTTCAAAGGTGCCTGCAGTAAATAATTTATTTATTTATTTATTCATATGATATGATCATATGCATTTTTTTGCTTTCAAAGGTTATTGCAGTATCGGTATATAATTTGTATATTCTTATTTATTTATTTGTTATCATATGATATGATCAGAATCTGAGCACAGGTTCTTTCTCTTTGCTCCATTGTTTTTTTCTAAATTAGTATCGGAAAACACGATGGACAAAGACTGGCAATACCAAAGGTGTATACCCAGCCGTGTCGCTGTTGTAGTTCGATAATCTAAATACATGTACATGTAGCTCAGATGCGTTGCGAAAATCAAATGCTTGTTGCCCGAATAATTAATTACCCGCAAATCAGGAAATGTGTAATCGTAAAGACATCTTTGTTAAAAATTTATACGTGTCACATTATCGTCATCGTCCCCGTCTGATGTTTTCGGGAGAAATCATTTTCACGTCAAAATATCGGAAAACCCAGAAAGGTGACCATTTACCATTTCTTTGTTTTTTTAGTCACACAAAACAAATACATGCGTATCTTTACTTCGTTTGGATGAGTAATGGCAGACATCTTTAGAATATCATTCAGGAAATCGTGTTCCACTACCAAAACAATAAACAATGGTCCTGTTAAAAAATTAAAGTTACCTTATTACACTAATAAAGAAAAGACAACAACAAAAAAAGCAACTCTTAGGACAACCAAATTAATCTAATTAAAGATAAAAAAGATTACAGCACATGGAAATTAAAGAAGTGATATGACGTTCTTTATTGCAGGTTATCCTGTTTTCTTTTTTTGGTAAATTGTTTCTTGACACTTTCGGTCAAACTCTGTTGGTTGGTTGCTTTGGATGTTAATTATGAATGTTTAAAAATCAAATAATGAATGTGTAACTGTTCACACAAGTTTTGTTGTTGCGTTTTTGACTATTAAGGATGGTATTAACAATGAACGTGCATGTAAATTAGGTTTGTGTAATTGAATTATTAAATTGTCACCGACGCTATGAATATTCTTTGTGGTAAAGAGCAAAGAAATTTAGATCAGGAAAGCGTGTGCGCGCTATTAATATGAGGGCAAAAAAGTACAAATAAGCCTGGAAGGTAGCTTCGAATTTTAATCATTCACTCGATAAAAAAAAATAAAAACAAATTAAAACAACAATTATAAACAAATTTCAAAACATCCAATATAACAAAATGTCTAACCAAAAATCTAATAAAACTCTCATCTACGAAACTCTAAAAACATTGAGCCGCCCCGGAAAAGTTACTCCTCTAAACGAAAGCAGAAGCACAGACTTCTTTGCTCAAGACTACGAAGATGATAGAGAAATCTATGCACCGGAAACCTTTATGAAATTTTTTGGCGACTTCTTCTCAGGAGAAGATCTCGAGGAAACTATTCAGCGTCTTCAAAAAGAGACTGACTCATCCTCATCATCGTCTTCAAGTGGGTCGGATGATGAAGAGCAAGTGGAAAAGATCGAAGTCAAAAGAAAAATTTTGAATGTTTTTAAAAAAATGGTTAAACGTTCATGATTAATTTTTTATAAATTATAGAAACATAATTCCTGCAACTCAACTTCATTATACTTTGCATTATATTTGCATTTCATTTTCATTAGCATTCATACATTTTTTAGCATTTAATTAGCATTTATTTGGCATAGCATTCAATTAGCATTCATATTCTAGCCATTCGTAGATTTAAATTTGCATTAGAAACATCACGGTTAGATACTGTTACATGCATTAAAAGATCTTTGATAGATCTTTTAATCAATATAATAAAGATACAATTTTATTCATATAAATAAACAATTGATTTTATAAGTTTGATACAACATTCCGACATGCTCAACACTCAAAATTATATAATGATAATAAATGCTAAACATACTTATATCGATAACGATATGGTTTTAATATAATTTTGCTGCTATACCGATACCGGTAAGCATGCATGATAAAATTTCATTCATAATTCATGGTATGTCAGTAATTCAAACTTTATAAATGTAAGTGTTTAAATTTGGTTTTAAAAATCTGCGCGATCACTTTTCTTACAATATAATATGCGCACTTTATTAAAAAATAATCAAGCGTAATTATTTGTATGCGCAAATTATTTTTAATATGCGAATATTTACACAGAGCGCGTGATGCTTATGTCTTCGTTGTCATTTTCAAATAGATTATTGCATGTGCAAAAAACAATGACGATGGCAATGACTACAGCGCAATAGTTAGTTTAATGATCTCGTTTTGAAGAATTATTTTCCTGCCTCATTCTGCCACCTTTCTGATTCGATCTTTTTTGTACCTTTACACATTACAAATTACATATTACTATCACGGAATGTATGAACAAGACCGAAATGTTAGTTTGAATTGATGGTTTTATTATTGTATGAATTATAATGTCAAGAAGCGAGTTTTTGATAATGACAGTTTCTTATTATATGTATTACGCGTGTAAAGCAATTAATATCGATATGCGCAACTGATTTTTACTAATTATCTCTAGAAAAACTATTGCGCAAGCAATCTCTGCTCGGATACCACAGGTCAATTACAATGGCGCTCAAAAGTAATGCATCACGAAACATTTTATGAAGAAAAAATTTTAGCGCCCCCTAATGCCCATAGTTTCTACACTAATTTTAAAGATAAAATCTAGAAAATTTTTAAAAATATATTTTTATTTTCATTTTAGGAAATTAAGTAATCTACGCATATTTGTTTAATTACATGTAAAGCTCCAGTTCAACGGATTCAAAATTAGGGTGACAAATTTTTAATTTTGTATCATATGATTATTTTTTAACAGCATATTAACAGTCATATCCTTGGAATATTATTTGTTTTGGATGTTTTAAAAGTGGCATTAACACACATGATAACGAAAAAATAATATGATATAGTGTAACCCTTGCATTTACCGTTATTGTTATTAATTCGTTACAGTTCTTTAATCTGGACACTCATCGCAATAATAACTGTATCACATGCTTTAAAAATTCTATATGTAATATAGGAAAATTTGCTAACAAGATTGCTTATAACTTTTTTTGTTTATATAAAATTTTATTCTAAAATAGTAACATGAAAGTTTAAGATAAAAAGTTTTACAAGTAGTCCTAATATAGAAAGAGGAGATGCAATTTAAAAAATTTAAAAAAGGAATATAAAATTTGTTGAAACTAGATGACTGGAACTGAAGTGAAATTTTGAAGCTTTCGAATGTTAAAAATTGGATTAGTAAATTATTTAACTATTTTTTTTTTTACTTATATATTCAGAGGTTATACATCAATAGCTACCATTCCGATTTAGTTGAAAATTTGTATACTGATTGATTTCATAAAGGATTACTAATATAAAAATGCTTGAAAGATTTAATTTAAAAATTATTAATATACTGCATTTCAATTAATATTTTTTTATTTATATAAAAAAT